CCAAGACACTTAGCATCTCTAATCTCAAATGTATTCGGTAAACACACTTCCTTGGTTCTCTGCCGCATGCTGTTTTGTGACCATCATGTGAGAATCAGTGCAGAAGCGTCTGTGGGAACAGCAGGGCCCTAGAGACAGTTTCCTCGGGCTGCTGCTCGCTCATAACCATGGAAGATTTCCCTGCCATAAATATTAAATGCTTGACATTGATGCTTGATGGCCTCTCCTACATAGCTGACATGGCACGACAAGGTTGTGCAATTCACACGCTTGATAGGTTTGTTTTGAAGTTAGCACTTTCAGTCGTAACCTCTCGTCTTCTCAGAGGCACGGCATACATAAACCTACCTCATACATAAAAGGAAAACTGGAGAAAAAACAAAATGTTTGTATGGATCCCAAACTAGAACATGTAAATATAATATCTTTCTCTTAAGGCAACTTGTTTTCCCTAATGTATCCAGCTTTTCTTCGGGGTTCTGCTAATATGTCTCAAATGCAGTAAAGATGCTATATTTTTTTATCCATTAAAGAAATTTAAGGCAAAAACAGAGTGAATCTGAAGGTAAAAAAAAAAAAAAAAACATGTTCACCAAGCTTTATTCACCAGTGAATTAAAGATGTTGGGTCTCTTAGTTTTCAGATATAGATGAGATGAGATATATGCAATGTATTTTGCTTCATACCTGGATTTAAATTGTTTGTGTACAGTATATACACTGTATGTTATATTGGGAGCAGGTAAGTTATGTTTCCCTTTTCCTTTAAAGTTGTATGAAGTCAAATGCGAAATGGTTATTATCATAATCTAAAATCTAAAGTCAGTAAATTTGTGATTATGCAATGTGAAGATGAGCGGTCTGTGTTTTCAGTTGTAAAATTTGAATTGTTGAATAAATAAATGATTCCCCACAGCCATTGTAGTGCTATTTTAGAAGCTTGTAGATAGTCTACAGAACGTCTGCATGGAAGGGTTTTCACTGTGAATTAAGGATTCAAGAAAGACATGGAATTAGGCCACAAACTCAAACAGCGTTTGGATTATTCATGCAAGTTCCCTTTTGTGCGAGAAGAAATTGTTTTGAACTTATGCTTCTTAAAAAAAAGCAAGGGGAGAGACAGCCGACATGAAAGTCTGTTACATATCTAGTCATCTTTATTTGTATAGCGCTTTATGCAATTCTGTCAAAGCAGTGATAAACAGGAATAATGATTCAATGATGCAAACCCTGTCATTCTGCTGGTGGAGCAGTTTTTAAAAAAACAAAAGTGTTATTATTCAGCTGGTCAATTCAGTGTTGATTGTGATCATGGTGAGAAGACAAATAATAATTTCCTTTTTTCCCCCCATTCCATTTTTGCACAAATTGTAGTGTTGACTGTAGTCAGCCGAGCATTGACTATTTAATCCAAGTTCAAATCAAATCCTCTCAAGCCTAACATATGAAATATATATA